CTCCACACCTAGTACATAATTAAATCCCTTACTTAACAAGATTTTTACTGAAAGTAAAAGTTGCTGAGAGTTAACACTGTAATATGTAATTGAGCCTACTGAAAAAAACAGGTTTACACACAAGGTATGTAAGGAGAATGAAATGTATTTTTTGTAAGAGATTATAAGAAGGTATGGAAAAATAAATTTTTGCCTAGGTTAGAGGGTTAAAGGATTGTTTTAAATTAAATAAAGCTAAAGGTTTGAACACGTTGTACAAGGTTTATAAAAAATTAACTGTAAGAGATTCTATGTGTGAGTATATTGTCTAAATAAAATGGCATTATTATTTTTTCCCTAAATTGGACACTGGAATAAAATCACAACAGAGTTTCCTTGGAACATTGTTCTGTTCTGAGAAAAAAAATTCTAATGAGTTATAAAAGGTTTATAAAAATCTTACCTTATGGTCAAAGTAAATAAAATTGAATATATTTATAAAATGTTATTAAAAACTAGCTTTAACATTTAAAATACAGTAATGGAAACATAAAATTTGGCTTTCTCTTTTAAAAAGGATTTTTATATAATATTAAAAGATAATGAAAGGTTTTTGTTTACCTTTTAAGTAAACTACAAAAGAAAAAGGTCGGAGGGGAAGGGAAGGAAAGGAGACAGGCAGTTGGCCTCATGCTATCTTCATTGGGTCTTATTTGGAAAGCTGGTCTCCTCTCTATTAATGTTTCATCCTTTAAAAAATTTTTCTATCATCATTTTGGCTAAATGAATGACTGAAGGTAACCTAAGATTCTACTTTGTAATATCCAATGTTTAAAACCTGTGGTATCTGACAAACCTTTCAAAACCAAGCTCTAGATTATCATGCAAAATCAGCCAATACTAAAATTGTTTAAATATACAATTTGAATGAACTCCATGGTCTAAGTCAAATTACCTATGATAACCCATTAGTTATCAGTGCTATGCACCTACATTGGAGAAACAACTGGTATTCAAGAGGACATAAGCCCAATGTTAAGCATGGACTCATGAAGAACTAGGATGGCCACCTTGTCCTTCCTGAGTCCTTAAGCTTTTGTTATTAAAGGTTCTGCATTCCATGACTCGTCATGGAAAAGATAAAATAATCCAAATTGAATCTACTGATGTGGTAACTTATAAATTATGGAAATAGTTTAGAACCAATATTTGCTTCCATATTCCTGGGAAAAAAATTAAAGCTTCAGGTACATTTGGCTATCTGATGGGCCACTTAAACATTTATAAAGGGATTTCATTCAACTGTCGTTTTCAGTGCATGTTTTCTAATTATATAAAAGCTTTCCAATGCAAGAGGGCCGATGTTATAACAGTAGATTATTATGCTACAATGTATTTTCACCAGGTAAAGAAAGCTTTTTATGGTTCACTGAGGATAATCCCTTCATAATCTAGAACCTGAAGATTAGATCTTCTGAAAACATCAGAGAAAGACTGTCATTGCCCTCCATACTACAACAAAACTTTGGAGACTTGAACCTTGGGTTCATAATCTCACAACTGAGAAGGGTCGCTTCACAGTCCTGGAACTGTACAACCACTGGACCCCTTAAGTTAAACTAACCAGGACAGTTTCTCCCCAGAAGAAGATGACATCCTTGATATGAATAGCTTTTCCCAAGATCATGGATCAAGACTTCTGCTATCACAAGACTCTGACCTTTGAATATTTTTTCCTTGTGTATGCCTCTATGAACAACATAAATGAAAAGGGAGTCTATTATGTGCACTTATAGGGTATAATTTTATCTGTGAAGGATTTTGCAGCCAACCTTATATATGAATAACCTTATACTTTAGTAGAAAACAGATTAAGGCCCAATGTAGGTGAGAAACTTTAGTGGTACATACGTTGCCTCATAATCAGTCAAAACTCCTCTTAACCTGCATCATGGATTAAAGAGAACACTGCCAGGAGGCCTTCACTCTTCTAGAAGGACATCATTGGTTAGGTCCTTTCTCCATGGTTTAGACTAAAAGACAATAATTAGAAATGTCTCTCTCATAATAGGCCCTACAGCAAATTCTACTTTATAGGCTGTTGTTACACAACAGACTTTAAATTCTCTTGTGAAAGTTATGCTAAATAATAAAATTGGCTAAACAGAAATGTACCTATGCAGCTGCTGACACTTGTGGCCTATGCAGAAATACATCCTATATAGATTATAAAAATTCAGCTGTAGGGGATTAATGAAAAGACCACCTAGTCAAGTGAGTAGACTCTTCATCTAGCTTATTCTTTAATCTATTTAATTTTAGGTGATTTGGTTTATGGGGACCCTGGGTAAGGAGCATACTCCACACTCTTGATATTATCCTCTCAGTAGTCATAATAATAATCTTCCTGGTGTGCCGTATTCTCTCAAAGGTTTTAAATGTTTGCATGCAGCCATCTCTAGGACGTCAAATGGTCCCTCTTCAACTGAAATGACAAAAGCTGAAAGAAACATGCGACCATGAGGACTCCATAACCTATATGAATGACATGCCGAGACCAGAAACCCAAAATGATGGTAACTGAGAGTGGTGCTAAGGCCCTAAGTTTTGGTCACACTCTCCCCTAAGTGAGAACCTGGCTCAAAAGGGGGAATTATTTTTAAACAAAATTTTAAATGGGAGGCCATTATTTGGGACTAAGCTCATGCACTAGGCCCCAACAAACCAAACCAAACTAAAATAGAGCCACTTCTGCTAAATGTGACATAATCAAGCTAGGACTTTAAGAAAACACATAGATCCTAGAACAAACCAGGCTTTGTTTTTCTCCTGTAAATAGGATGTTCCAGCATAAGGAGGTGCCCTCTACTCAGTCCTTATTCCGTCCTTGCAAAACCCACTGTTCTGCTGTTTCCCAGTGGGTTTCAAAACCATGTAAGTACATTTATGATAGTGCTAATAACATCAATGACTAAGGCTTTGGTCAATCTCTCAAAATTGAGAAAGTGACCAAAAAGGCAGAATTATTATTATTGTTTTTAATTTTTTAAATTATACTTTAAGTTCTAGGGTACATGTGCCAACGTGCAGGTTTGTTACATAGGTATACATGTGCCATGTTGGTTTGCTGCACCCATTAACTCGTCATTTACATTAGGTATTTCTCCTAATGCTATCCCTCCCCCAGATCCCTACCCCACAACAGGCCCCAGTGTGTGATGTTCTCTACCCTGTGTCCAAGTGTTCTCA